TCGCCACAAGATGGCGCTATAGTTCATGTAATTTTTTAACTTAATAAAAGATTCACGTACATCATATTTAAATAAGGTTTGTTATAATTCTAATACATTTTGAAATTAATTCAAGTGAAATATTTTTTAGAAGATAAACAAAATGATTGTCTTTTATATTAATCACCATTGACATAAATATTATAACTTTACGATAAAATGTTATTATTTAAGTGTACCCAAATCATTTCTATAATAAATTGAATGCAAATTGCGAGTGTACAAAAATTGTTCGTAAAAATGATAAAGAAGCTTTCATACATTTGTTGATCTCAGATATAGGCGGTTTATGAACAGAATTATTAATTCGTAAACAATTCAAAAACATAAATTACAAAAATAAAAAAGCAAAAGAGCTTATGAATATATAATTAAATTACAAAATGTATACACTATACAAGACCCTTATGATTAGCTCAGCAAGTCTGCAACCTTGACTATATTTATCAATATTTCAGTTATACGTTTTCTCTCTGACCTATTATACATGTAAAAGAAATATATGGTTTTTTGACTAAATATAATATCTAAAAAACTGGTGACAGTATTTTGGAATTTTTATAACGATTGGTTACATTAATTACAAGTAAAATCAACTTCGAATAATCTATTTACTATAAATTTATTGTTAAAGGTTACTCAAAGTGTATTTCTATGTTGCGGTATATACACGTTAAAATACCGGATGTAAATACATTAATGCAAAAAAATGATATTTCAATGTTTATTGAATTGTTTAAATAACCAGAATTTAAAAGTACTGGATTTGAGCCAATATTAGTTATTAGTGTACATAAAGTGCCAATAATACATACATAAGAAAGAACGTATCACTAAAACTGTTTTACTACTCTATCCTTTATATTTGTTTAAATATAATTTTTCTATTTAAAAAACAAAATCAAACACCATAATGTCACTTTAATTAAAAAATAAAATTTAATGTTTCGACTTTTTCTAGAAATCAACACAAAATTTAACAAAAGTTTTGTATTAGCAAAAATTATCTTTAAAATTCCAATTAAAGAATAATAATGAAAATTCTGATACAGATAGGAAATATTTAATGACTTCGTAGGAGTCAATCCATATTAAAATAAATCAATAGAGAAATATTAGTAACCCATATTCATTTAAATTTTATTTTGGTAAACTTATGTCAACATTATTCTTCAAACAAACTTTTCATTTACAAGAGTACTATTTCTACACAATAGTTATTTTAATTTGTTATTCAATTTACTTGAAAACAAACAAAATAAAAACAGAAACAACCATGTCAATCAATAAAACCTTATTTTGAAAAATATCAGCTATGCACATTTTAAATTAACTATTTTTGAAACTACTTTGCATATTATTTGATTACAATAAGTAGAAAAACGTAATAAAACAAAGTGAAACAAGTCATAACTTTTTGATGTCGGTTTTGAGTATTAAATACTTAAATGGTTTTTAAACAGTTATTATAACGTAAAATTATATAATTTTAAATCAAATTAAACAGTCTATAAAAATTATATATGAAAAGTTAAAAAATAATTGGTTTCTTATACAGGAAAATTTGTCAAAATCACGGATTAATTTGTTATGAGTAATTTTATAATACTAAATAAAAAAATAGCAGAGATTTCGTACGTCAAAATTTTAAACAATATTACACAGTAACGAATATGTGACGTACGTGATTATTCATTAAAATTACTATAGTTTGAGTCTTTTGAGTACGATAAATGTTATTATTAAGTACGACAAAAACTTTACATACAAGTTCACATGGAATATTTAAAACAATATAACACACAGCAATGTTAATATAACTACATAGTGGGAAAATTTATCGTGTCAGAGCAAAAACGCATGTACTTGTCCTACTTATTAATTATGATACTTTTTACATTAGTGCACAAATCCATGCTCTACGTCAATCACATATGCATGCATTTGTAAATACAAAATCATAGTATATAAAAACGTTCATAAAAAATAACAAGGCTTTCTTCCTAAGAAGATAAAACCATTCAAATAACATCTACAATACACAAAGGAACACAAAAAGTCAAGACTCAATGAAATATTAAATAAAACATGTAAAGTTTTGAGAAATATATTTGGATAAAAATGTTTGCCTTTAATATTTCTAGCGTTTGCTCATACAAAATTAACGAACAAAATTGATTAATAATATTTTTATTTACACTAATTCATATAGCTATGACACAAACACACGCGCGCGCTCGTACAAAAAGCAGTTGAAAAAACAATTATCTAGTACAGGGATGGAACAGTGGATCAAATAAATTTTTTGAATTTTTAGCTTACGTCTTATGCCCCAATCCATCATTTTTGAAGTGTTGTGTAATGTTCAGATCCTAAAATATATATAAAAAAATGAACGCCGCGGAATATAGCGACCTTGACCGGAACCGAACTTTCAATTAGAAAATTTAACTCATCACACAATGGGAAAACGGAATGTAAATCGTGTGACGTTAATTAAATCACATACTAATAAGACAAGTGTTAGTCAGCTACCGTTTTCAAAAACAGCCAATGAAAATATACAAACATAAACGAAACGTTTGACGTCAACGTGACCACACGCATGAACACACGGGCAGCATTAATAGTCGATACAATATGGTATCTATAGGTTTATAGTAAAAAAGTATCTATGTTTTGAAAATTGTTTAGCGACAGTAAAGAAGACACGCGATCACCATATGAGCGGCACAGTAACTGTCGCTTTCGAAGTATTTGTCAGTATATCGGCCGCGCGAACGCGCACGGTGACCATTGCCGCAATCGCAGTGGCTGATTCAGTGGCCGCTAAGGAAGTAACAGATGTGACTTTTGAAGGTATTCATTTTCCTACTGAGGCCTCGATCTTGCTTATTGTTCAATAATGAACTTTTATTTTTATACCGTATTATATTATATATTAATAAATACTAATTTATGATAAAAATAAATAAGAGAAACAGAGTGAAATAATACTCAAATAAATTAACATTTAATCTAAAATTACTAATATCAATATCGGTGTTTATGTTAGTTAACAAAATTAAATCGTTGTGTTATATTTAGGCGGCTTCCTAGTCATAGTCGTGCTTAGGTACGTATATACAGAATTCGATTGCGTTGCATTTGACTATGTAAGTTCTCTGACACAAGTTACAGCGTTTAGAGTGAACGTTAAAAATGATTAATGATAAATAAATAAATATTCAACTATGTCAACAAAATTGTCTTTTATATATACTGGGTCAATACATTTATTACAGCCAAGACGACAGGTTGATAATATATTTTATCCTTTAATTGAGCAAAAAAATATGCATATCATCTAAAGCAAACTTATTTAACACTGTAATTTTGAATTCTGTGTCTACATTGTTTAAATCTTTACACGTATAAACTAAATCAACGAAAAAACACAATGGCAATTTATATAAAACATAGAAAAAACTGAGAAATTAATTCATGTTTTTTTTAAGAGAATTAACTAAAATTATTGTATGAAATCAGACCACTTTAAATGAACGCCTAAAAAAAAATAAACTATTTATAAGGCTACAGTATATAAAAACTAAAAAATTACCTTATTCAAAACAGTAACTCTAAGATGTTGAAAAGAAATTTAAAAAATACTCTTGGATTAAAAGTCCATCAAATATTAAAACACACAAGAGAATCGCATTACACTCGTCAACTTTTAAGTCGTAAACGGTTATGAATGAATTTAAGTCAGCGACTTAAGTATGTTTCGCTTAAAATCTGATAACACGCAATATAAATTAAAGAAACACGCAAATTTACCAAAAAATTTAATTTTATACTAAGGTTACGGGAAGTACAAGCAATGGAACTTTTATAATGTAATAAAACACAATATGAACCTAATTTACTATGATACAGTTCATTCAGCCGAACCTGACAAGGCTAATAAAAACCATTATTATCGCAGAACATAAACCTAATTTGTTATATTTTATTTTTTAAGTAAAAATAAAACTAAAAATGTAATTCATGTGACTAAAGCTTATTTAAAAATATGTATAATAAAGTTTGACCTAATTCTATGAACTTATACTAACAAAGTACTTAGAACTCAATGTTAAAACAACAAAATTCAAGTTACACTTTACGACAAATCTATTCCTCTGTGTCCTATGTTCTTGGGTTTTAAAAAGTAAAAAACGCGTACCCTAAAAGAAAAAACTTTTTAAGTTGAGAATCTGACGCGTAACGATCAAATGTAAAAAACCATTGAAAATCCTCTTTTTGAGAGGATAGTTATTTTACCCACAAATTATTCAAGTAAGAAATAAAATAAGGAAAGTAACCGTTAACAGAAGTTCTTTTTAGTTGAACACGAAATACAATATATTTGAAACAGGAAAATTTATTAAATACGAAAATAGCTGTACGAACATTTAATAATTTATTTTTTATATTTAATTATTTTAAAACTTGAACCATTTTTAATCAAAGTGGTCGAACACTCTATAATACTAAGTATAAAATATTCGTACTTTTTTTAAATTTTTCTAAAATTATAAATTTAAAAAGTTGACTGGTTTGATTGTTTGAAATTACTAAAAAGCCATAAATTAACTTAGTAACTAATAAAAATAATATCATTAATAATATTCATGTGATATAAAAAATTATTTATTTATGATTAAACATTATTAAGGTTTAGGAACTTAGTTGAATAATAAATAACAGATTTATTTTAAGTACGATTATTGTATCAAAAAATTACGCGTTTAATTTCAAATATTTAATAACTCCATTAACTCGATTAATTTATACAAATGTTTAAACGCTTGTGCATTTTCTTAGTAAGAAAACATCGAGTTACTTATAATGAAATGATATCTTTCACTACTAAAAACTAACACAGTTATTCTAAGCTAGATAAATAGTAAGGTTATGCAAGATTAAAATCCACTTACCTCTAGTTTGAGGATGATTCATCAGAATAGCTAATGGACATTCATCGTCATCTAATATGTACTCCCTATTGTTATTATTCATCATTTCTTTATTGTCGGAAATGCCGTTATTCAATCCAGAATTATTTTCGGTTGGAATAACTGCATTATTTACCTTGAAAAATAAAATGAAAAAAGTTCGATAAAATTGAAATATTATTGAATATTTAAATAAATTACTGTTTTCACAAATATTTTTTTTTAATTCGAAGCAAATGACTTACTTGTACGAGGCAAAAATTAAGTGGATCGACTTTATCCAAACCATACTTTGCTAACATTTCTTTTACAACTTGTTGCGCTGTGTCTCTAATAGACAATAAAAGAGTTTTGTATGGTACATCTCTACAAAGAGATTCTCCATAAATTTTAAGTGTACCGCCAGTGTCAGGACCGCCGTCTGTACTACGAAACGCTTGTAATTTTCGCTCTAACTTTTGTTGACGTCTTCGACGCATTACAGCTTCGGGATTTGATATAGATCTCGTGAAACTGGTTTCTGGTAACTCTGTAGGAATAAAAATACAATTTTCAGTTATAGCTCATAAAAACAATACTATTAGCATAAAACATATCTCTTATTGTATACTAAAATACTAATAGTAATTACATTAGAGATAATATTATTTGTGGGAAACAATACGAAAAAACAAATGTGCCTCAAAAAGTTTTACTTTTTACGTTTATTTCTTTCGTGATTAAAATTCATACTAATAAAAATTGTTCATTAAACAATTAATTTACAGTGGTATGTATAATTTATACAATATTACACACATAAAACTTTAATATTTTTCATTTTCATTTTAATAATAAAAAAAGTAATGCAAATACGATATACAGAATCGATTAAATTACCTGTATACAATTTTTCTGCGACTCCAGGGTCGTTTTCATCATTAGGTAAACCATGACTCTTAGCACGATTAAGTTTTTCTTGTTTTTTCAATTGTTTCTTTTCTCTTTTGGACAGTTTACGCTTAAAACTAGATCCTGCTTCTTGGAACGTACCGGCAGGCATCTTAAATCAAAATATATCAACATAATAAATTTGATTACATTTAGCGCGTGATTGTACAAACTTACATTTGTTTCCTCATCTATTCGTCGCAACAGAAATCTACCTTCGCGGTCATCTTTGTGCCAATTCAACTGTACTAACAGTGGTTTTTCATCAACACCCAATTTTCTTTCGTCTAAAAAGTACAAGAATAATAAATAATTGCCCGATTTTAATGACGCACATTTTACATTAAAACGATGCTCACCTCCATTTTCGTGTATTTCGTACAAGGCGTACTCTGGAACAGACAACATCCTCATGTCGGGTCGAAACTTTTCGATAAGTGTCTCGATGACAGCTTGCGAAGTAGCATCTGAAGCAACGCGAATACACTTGGTAGCCACTTTTTGTCCAGTGCCGGGCTCTTGGAAATAGAACCTCATTACACCATGAAAGAGAAGTTCCTGTAAACATCACAAACATTATTAATAGTTACGTTGACAATTGAAGTAAATATAATAATAGAATATTTTAATGCGGTCATATAAAAGTCCGTTAGATCAGATTTTTGACATTTTTACTTCGCAATAATAATTGTACTTGTCGTCGTCATACCTATGTAATCGCATTGGTATGCCATGAACGCGTTAATAATGTTAAGCAACTGAACGACGATGAGCAGGGGTTCTCAAATTAGAGTGTTTATATTATTAATCGGACACGTTTCAAAAGCATAAGGCAAGGAAATTTCCTGTACTTAATTGTGCTATTATTTTATTTTAGCCTATTCATTACGGTTTTCACAACACACATAAAATAAGTGTTATAAAACAAAAGTGTAAAATTTAGTTAGGAATAGAATAGTCAGAAGGGTGAACGATAATCACCTGTTATTTCGATTAGTTAGTAACATTGTTATCGGTTCACACAACCACCTGGCTGCAATTCTCACGGTTAAGCGATAAGTAACTATTACAATTATTGAACACATAGCTTAATACAACCTGATTTAAGTTCAACGCGGTATGTTATTTATACTTGGACCAATAAATAATATAAACTCTTTAAATTAAAAATCAATCACGGTATATAATTAATTAATTGATTGTAAAAACTTAGCATTCTTATCTATTTAGCTAGTCAACAGACAATTATATACTAAATGTTGAATATATTATTATTATGAATAATTTATTAATTGCAACAAAATGAAATGTTAAGAGTATTGTACAAACAATACTTTTATCATTATACATATATATATATATATATATCATATAATATTTTATAAATTATGTATGAGTCAATAAAATTTTTTTATAAAATTATGTTCTTAGTATTTCACTAATATAAAAAATATTAAATCGCACAACGCCATAACGATTTTTTTATTGTGAGTTTTTTTGTTGTAAAGTATTACAATAAATGTTAATAAATCAACAACATTTAAACTGATTAACGGAAATAATAAATACGCTTTCATTAAATTTATTGTAATATAATATAGAAATAACATTAAACTCATTTTTTAATAAAAATCCATACAAAAATGAGTATATTGTCTTATCAATATATTACGGAAGTATAACAATAATTAAAATACGCCTATACACTAATGTAGTATTATGAAAACATTGCACTTTCTAAGCGATTACCAGGAAACAATCTATACTATCTAAGTAAATAATTTATAATGTGCGTTTCAATTTAACTTTCATTATATTAAATGTTTTAATAAATTGATGATATAGAAAATAAATCTTATAGTTGATAAATATTTTAGAAAATATTAAAGTCCAAGAATCAAAATAAATACCAAATATTTGTTTTTTTTTAAATTATTAAATCAAAATAGTCACAATAAAAAAATACGACAATCATTTTACCAAAGATTAGAAATCAACAATATTAATATAACAATGAAAAAAATCAAACTATCCTACGAAAAATTGATTAAATATTGATTTCTGATAATAAATTAAGTTGTTCAACACATTAAAGTTTAAAACAGCTAAATTCGACTATAAAATCAAAATCAAAACATACAGAAAAGTAATACACACATTTTTACTATCTGTAATTTTGTATAAAATATTTATGTTTTATTCTACTATATTTATTTAAAAATTAATTACGCTTATAGTAAGAATATATTTTACGTGTATATTTATAAATAAAAATTACTTAGTATTAATATAAAACATTAATATATTTAAGGAAGATCAAGATGTATTTCATATGTGACATCCAAAATATTTTTATATTTTTTATATTAAAAAATAATAAATACAATGTATTAAGTTACTAAATGTAATATGAAATATTGCTTTTATAACTCTACAATCTTTCTATTATAATTTAATGTTTTTTTCGTAAAGAGAAAACTAATGAGAATAATTATTAATATTTTTTTTAATAATTAATAAAATTTTGTTAAAAATTATTATTTTCAATAATTTGTTTTGGTCGCTATTATGCAAAATTTTACTAAATGATTTGATTTTTTTTTTTTTAATTCTAAAGAGATTTCAAACAAATATTAAATTAACAAATCAATTATTAATATGATACAGTTTACTATTACATTAATATCCACTTTATTTATATTTAAGGCAACGAAAACAATTAATTTATTACTTGTTTAGTTTTTGCACGACAACGATTCAATATTAATATTAAAAACGAAATCATTTCAAAAGTATACATTTTACTCTGGTTCAGCTAAATATTTACATTTCAAATGATTATACAAAATTTGTATAAACATTATTTAATAATGGTTTATGTTGAGTAAAATATTGTTTAAGAAATTTTTAGTTAACGTATATTGATTTGTAACATAAGCAATTTGCTAACAAAATTAATATTTTATTGAAGTAATTAATATGTGTTTATCAGAATCTTCTTATTTTCTTCTTAACTATTACACGGAAAAAGTTAAGTATTGTATATAATGTCGGACAAGAACTATTGAGATTGCAACATCTTTATTATTTTCTAATTTATGAGCACAAATATCAATGGAAAAATTATTTGAAAAATAACATACATTTAGTTTTGTAAAACTTGAAGTTCTACTTAAATTTAAAATTGTTAAAAACAAGCAGGATCTTCTTTAGTGTTTGTGGGACCAAAGGCAATTTATTTTTATGAAAAAAAGTGTAAAAAGTAATTAGAAAAGGAAGTAAACCTAAGCATGAAGTCTCAACATAAGTACAGACAAAGAATAAATCTTCCAGTTGGTATGTCTTAAGACTAGCGATAAATAGTTCCAAAAATTAAAATTGTAAATTATTGAACATATTAACAGTTCAAATGAAGTAATGAAATACATTAAATGTGTAATATATTTTACGTTTATACTTGAATACTTAAAATATCTATAAAATGAGGAAAAATTCCAATTATTATATGTCATTAAGATGGGCGTCGACATAAATGTCACACAGAAAAACAATCCAATAATTTAATATAGATATTTATAGTGTCTCCTGTAAAGAATGATAAATATCTATAAATTATTTATGTTACAAAATATTCTAAAATATTAAATGCAAAAATCATTGGATAAATTTTAAAATTATCACGCATTGTTGGGTTGAGAAGTCTTACGATAGTATTTTTAATGAACAATGCTTCTAGTAATATAAAAACAAAGACAACGAATAACAAATTAATATGTAGTGTTGAACTCTTGCAATATCTTTAAAAATATAAAACATTATATAAATATTTTTCTTTTAATATAATAATATTCTATACTTCATAATTTTCAAAAAAATATTTGTTTTATCCACTCCCCTCTCATAAACTAGTAATAACTATTGTTTTTTAAATGAAAACATACAAGTATTATAAGGAGTAGAGGTGTAACGCGGGCCTATTTATTTTAATGATAATTTATGAACCGTACTTCTCAAGAAGAAAAATTATATTATTTTCTACATCACTTATAACTTTTCATGCAATTAAATTTTTTTGAAATTGTTTTTTTTAATAAATATACCATTTTTAGACTACGATTAAAAGCATATTATTAAATAATTAAAATAATGTTGTAAAAAAAAATAATATTGCTGAATAATCTTGTTTTCTTACTCGTGATAAATTATAACAATAATAGAAAATCAATAAGAATAAAATTTTAAAATTATTTTAGAGTATGTAATATATACTATAATATAATATAATATATATATATATTATATATCACTACAAACTGCATTTGTACTGGTGTAGGTAGCTACGCCTACATCCCAAACTCATCAATGTATTTAAATTCTTGTAATTTAATGAGTACTCGTACTAAAATTGTTATCAACCAATCAAATTTTGTTGTAGTTAAAGGACAAAAAAACATGATTGTAACACCAAAAATGTATAAGTTTATATTAGTCTTAGGCGACGTATTAATCGTTTTAAAAGGTTTACTTAATTTAAACAGGTTAAAAAAACATTAATTTTGTTAATTATAACTAACTAACCGATTAGACTTCATTATTTTTACTAGTGATGAGATTTTCAAATATTTTAAACTTTTGTCTAGTTTTTGAATATTATTTTTACAACCAAATAGTTTATTATTAGCGTTAACTATCAAATAATTAATAAAAATAATCAAATAATAATCATAAAAATTCGAATAGCTTTAAACCATCTATCTATTTATACTACTTGAATAGTTATTAAATGACAATCGATTATTAGTTTGCATAGTGGAACTATCGACTAGTTCGATAATTACTATTCGATAATTTCCATCACTAATTTATACCATAAAATATTTGTGAAAACGGGAGTTGCGCAATTTTGCCATGCAAACATAAAAACATTAAGTACGCGGAAAGGTTAAGGCGTGAAGTACTGCATAGCACACTTATAAAACCTTCGCTATGGCATGTTTCACAATACACGATTGATGATATTTTTTCCTACTAGTATCTTGAACACTACCACATTTAGTGCACGTGTGATGATAGTGACATAAGAAATCGACCTAAAATCAAAATTTCTATAAAACTTCTAGATCCTTAACACTCGGCGGTTGAATGAAATAAGCAATAAATTCATGTACACTATATAGTATATTACATGAAATACGGTTGGGTATCAATGTGCTGTACTCTACCACACGTCGAACGCATGTTTTACAGCAAAACAGATGAATGACCTGATATGCGCGTTTATGGGATATCTTTTTCACTGCTGTCGATTTATCTAGCAGAACTTCTCAACAAAGATTAACCATGATCCGCGAATGTTGCAGTGTGCATCATTAATGCGGTCATCATCTTCACACTAACGGGGGATAGTAGGAACATGTAAAAGAAAAAACCGGTCAATCAACAGACTAATTTTAATTAAATCAAATATAAAATGTGGGAAAAACATTGACCTTCTTTTGAAGATTTCGATTTGAATAGAATGAAAATAGAAAACACATAAAATACAAATTGAACTCTCACAGTTGTTAACTCAAGTTGATTTTTAAAACACTCTACCAGCCAAAGCTACATAAGGTGTAAAAACATGTATCTTCAACATGAATAGTGTATGAAATCTATACTTAAAAAATAATAAACCAAAATATTTATAATTTTCCAACACAATCCAATTCAAAATTTTTAAATCAGAATCGTATAGTAAAATTAAACTTGTACAAAACAAAGAAAAAATATATAATACAATTTAAACTGAAAGTATATTGTATAAAATGTTTACATTATTATATTTAACAAAATGTTTAATAAGATATCACATCAGAATTTAGGATACATGTCAGACCTTGAAAAAATTATTCATGAATTTAAAGTAACGTAATAGGTCTTAATGTTTCTATTAAAAATTGCATGCTGTATTCAGTTTTTAAAGTCGCATTTAGAAGCAAATATTCTCGTGAGAAAATATTTAATAGTTTATAGCTAAAAATAAGTTCTTTGGTGTTTTACAATGTAATTATTTGACAACTACTATTTATCTCTTAAAACATTTAAAACAAACGTGATAAAATCATAATAAGTCAAAATACAAGTGTGGCAATAATAACAGTTAAAATCATCACGTTTCTCAAATAAATATTTTAATAATAAAAATTAACAAATGGTATCTCTCAACGTAAAGTATTGTGAAATAATAAGTGTTTGTGCTAATTTACGTTTTATAAATGTATTCATGACATCTTATTGAATAATGTCATTAAATAATAGTAGTAACTTTTTAGAAAAATTAAAAAACAATACAGTAAATTTCATAAAAAAACTGTATTTGCCATAAAATATCTCTTTTCATATCATTTAAAAACAAGTTTATTAATAGTTCTTATTGATCTAATATGAATTAATGTAAATATACCAATTTTAAAATTTCGTCAATAACTTTTTTTTTATGAGTCAATACATTATTGTAAATTTGTATTTAAATTTATCTTTATTTATTAAGGTAAATACATAAATATATAAAAATCGTAAATAAATCATGTTTCACTATTAACAATAGTCCTAAAAATATTCTTTACGAGTCATCTTGATATACTATGATTATTAAAACATTTTATCGATTCAATGTATTTAAATTACGTTGAATTATTTTGCATATGCATTTTCAGTCCATTTAGTCAATTAGAAGCTCTAAAAATTTGATCACATAATAACTTAGTTTTATCAATAATTAATAAAAATAACTGATTATACTAATGATATTAGAAGAACGTCATGTATTTAGGTAAATAATATTAGAAAATAATTTATTAAATCAATCATCAAATGGCACAACCCAAACATCCTTTTAACAAGTGTACGTATAAATATATTTAACACAAAAAAAAAAAAAGCGGTTATACGGCACGTGTTATTGAAGAGGCCAGATGTCTAGGCAATGAGTAACTTAAGGGCATAACCCAGGCTGCAGTTGTAGAGTTCATTTCGAAAATTGACTTTAAGAAAAACTTATAATAATTGTAGACGATTAATTTGAATTGAAGTGTAGAGGAAGTGACCGAGTAATTAAGGCAAGCATTTCTACTGCATGAATATATGATGTACACTAAAGTGTACATCATACAATCTATTTTTAAAGGATTGATTTAAGGAAATTTTTGTTGTTCATTTCTTCAACAAAAAATATGTAGAGATATTTATATTAACTAAAGCTTATAAAAAACCCAACATAAACATATAGATTCACTTAATAAAATTGCTCAAAAAAGTTCACAATAAAAGTTAGTACTATGAGAATTAGAAATAAACTAAAAAATACCATTAAAAGAAAGAACAAGAGTAATTTTAAGATAAAATTATAAAGGTATTGTAGGAAAGGAACAGTTGCTGTAACAAATGTGTGCAAATGACTAATCTTTCAGAATATAACTTTTTAAAATGATCAAAGCGTATAAACAGGATCTTTAAAATAAATATTTTATTATCGCGTTTATAACAATAAACGGTAGCACAGTGGGGTCGCGGCATAGTAGAGACATTGCATAGTAGGGTCCAGTATAGATTTAATCTGACAGTGATTAAAATCACTATCATAAAAAACGCTTCGATGCAAATCTGTAGATAGTGTTTAATTTTAAAAAATTGATGGATAATTGCAAAAGCAACATCAACTTCTATTAAAATAAAATACAAAACCCATAATTATCATACAAAAATAGTATATTTTTCAATATGGTAGCCATTTGCG